TGAGATCAAGTTAATTTTTCAACTAATGAAATTACATTGTCAAGAAATATTAATATAAGAAGTTATTAACAAAACATTAGGATAATAGAATTACATGCATTTTTACAATAGGATGATCCACTAATGATAAAATCAAATCTAATTTTCTAATATTTACATGCAAATATAGTATAAATCAACGTTCTAAATACAATAAATGCAAATTAAAAGCATTTTTGCATCCCAAAAAAAAAAATTCTACACACTAACGCGTAACTACCATTATTTCTCATATTGATCTAGAAATCTAGAAAAAAATAAAGTCGGAAATTTTTTAAATGAATTTAATCTAATAATCTAGATAAGATCGCTATAGCAATTATTTGAATCTTTGTCCTACTTCCTTAATGTATACACTATACTCAATGTAAAAATATTAATAATATACATACGGAAAGTGGTGATTGGCATGATTTATAATATCCAATAATATTTTTTATTCTTTGTTGATCCTTTTCCCAATCACGTTGAAGAAAAAGATAACCAGCATGTTGACATGCCCAACCTATCGGAAGATGATATTACATAATAATAAGAAAATAAAATATTGAATCTTTATTTACCTATTCCTGGTACATGTTTAAGTGAAGCTTTCATAACAATTTTAAGTTGTTCAAGAAGTTGAAATCGACTATGTAACATCCATATATACATCCAATCAAGTCTTGTTCGATGATTTAATATAATAATTGAACGATATTTACCTTTTGTTAAATCATCACCGGTAATAACTATTTTAATACCAAGGAGATCTTCCAAAAGACACTGAAATATATGAAATTACATGAAAATTAAAAATGAGAAAAAAAAACAAATTTACTGTTATCATTAGAAGATAATAACTCAAAAGAAAAGAACACCAACGAAAATAAAATCTTCGATTAAGAAATATAAATGGAACGGCTGGTGTTAAAGCAAAAACAAGATTAAAACATATACCAAGAAGTACGATTATATAGAAAACAATTGCTTTTATTGAGTTAACAATAGACATTATTGCAATAGTGGATATGTTTATCTGACTTGCATAAAACAATTTTATTTTCCATTTTTTATATTCTATCGTTTTTATTAACCAATCATAAGAATTTTTTATTGATTGAAATATTCTTTTTTTGAGGACATGATCAAATCTATTTTCTAATCAATTTATTAAATAAATTTATTATTATTTTATTTTTTTATCAAGAAGAATATAGAAAGATTTTATGAATTAACAATGCATTAACATGAATCAAAGAGGTCTACTGATATTATATGATTCGTTTAAAAAATGAACAAATAGAAAACAAGATGATTCATTTTAAAAATCGAGGAAAACACACCAAAGAA